TGGAGGCAAGGGGTCTCACATGTTGGGCTAAGATTACAGGAAGGGCCAGTCCTTGGAAAAAGACAGTGTGCTGAGAAATGAAGGAGGAGGGATAGGTGGATTGACACAGTGACCGTGACAGTGGGCTCAGGTGTGCCAGAGACGTGAGGACGGGGCAGCACAGGGCAGAGTTAGAGGGTCCCTGTGAGGAGCTGCCTTGCTGACCCCAAGCGAGAACATTCCACCTCTCTCAGCATGCTTGCAAAACACTCCACTACAAAAATCCCTCCTCTCTGCTCCCTCCTGCCCTGTGGCCTCTTAGGACCAGCGCTTCCGTTTCTGTGCAGGTGTGGGTATTTCGTGTTTCTGTGCAGGTGTGTGTATTTCGTGTTTCTGTGCAGGTGTGGGTATTTCGTGTTTCTGTGCAGGTGTGGGTTTGTCATGATTTGTGTGGCTGGCTGACTCCCCCCAGCATGATGTCCTCAAGGGGCATCCTTGCCTTTCACTGCTGAGTGCTAGTCTCTCTCTTGTGGGGACCACATTTTGTTTATCCGTTCATCAGTTGTTGGACATTTTTTCTTTCCAACTTTGTCGCCATTTGTGCTACATGGAACAGTGGTGGAAGATAAGGAAGTCTGCCTGTGTAAAGACCATGGCCGTAGAAACCTCATGGAGGGGCAGGCGTGCTCTGCTCTGTCCCACAGGGTCATTGTCACTTAGAGTCCACTCCCTGACTGCAGGTCTGTTTCGATTTTATGGTTTGTGACTGTGAGCATTTCAGCGTGCGCTTTGTGAACCTTGAGGGGCGCCCCGGTGGGAAGGGGGTATTGGAGCCTGTGAGGAGTTGTGTTGTTAACCCAGAGGCTCTGCTGTTTCAGATGTCAAAGTTTCTTTGGGAGAAAGATGGGCAATCTCTTCCCATTACCATTCACAGCCTCAGAAACCTTCCCTGTGAGACAGAACCGTTGCAGTGAGGGTGGTCGTGCCGTCGAACCGAGTACTGCTTCTATCTGGCTGCCCTCTGAGTAACAGAGCTGCACTCTGTCTGTCCTGAGCCGTCCTTACCCTCTCCTGATATACTTGATCCCGTTGCTCTAGCCACAGTGTCAGTCTGTCTCATTGATGGTCTTTTTTTCTCTCTTGTTTTTTTAAAGCCATTGTTGTTTTATTAACTGACCGTATTACAAAAAATAATTGTGATTGACATCTTAGTTCATTCTTCTAATAAGTCTGTTGATCTTGTCTTCCAAGTTCCCAACCTTCTACAAAAGGAGTGGTCCTTTCCTTCATTCCACCTTATGGAATTTGAAGGGCCACAGAAATGGTTTGCTTCTTTGCAGCATTTGCCAACATTGTAGAGCTTGTGAATTAGATCTTCCATGCAGATGATGCCGTGTTTGCCAAGAGTGGTGCAGTCAGATGTTACCTGTCAGAGCAGTTCGCGTACCGATTTTGCCGTAACCATACTAATGTATCAGTGCACTGACAGACTTTCCTTTGGGTACCCCCATGTGATACATGATTCCACAGTCCTCAGTGTGTTCAGTGAAGCTTTGTTGAGTTTAAGAACAGTGCCATCGAAGATCTGGCAAAGGTGAAGAAGCTGCAACACCTTATGAACTTTTGGGCTCACACAGTTGAAACCTCTAGTCCTGAAGCCAAATGCTAGTTTGGGTTCTGCAGGTACATAGGAGTTGCCAGCTTTTGTTGCCATCCAAGCCCTTCGCGTCTCATGTCTGTCCATCTGCCTATATTCTTAGTAATAGTGCTTAGCCTTCTTATAGAGAAGCTTCGTCCTCGCCTTTTGAAGCATCTTTTGAGCAAACTTACTCCCCTGGCACTTGCCTTTAATTCTGTGAAATTCTTTTTGCTTTTTCTTAAGGATTTCTGCCACTGCAGAAACCTTCTTGTTCTTCTCTGTGGCAAACTTTATAGATCCAGATGGAAAAGAAAAAAAGTGTGCATCTTCCACTCTTTTGCTGACCTTCCACCTTTCCAAGGATGGTGTGACACCTTTCCCAGAGAGTAACCTTTCCTAACAGCGTGCCCAAAACTCTACCATCCTTGTCTCCAGGGAGACACATGTGTGTGTGTTCTTTTGGCAGTCCACGGGACACTCGGCGTTCTTTGCAGCACCACAGTTCAAGACACATCAGTGCTCTGTCTGTCATCTTTAGTCTCTCAGATGCAGAGCAGGTGACTGAAAAGACATGACTTGAATCAGGCACACCTTAGTCTTTAAGTTGACGTCATTGATTTTTAGTGTTTTGGGAGAGGTCCCTGCCAGGACACTTTGCAGCACAGTTTATCTTTTGATTTCTTGACTGCTGGTACTGATGGTGACAGTTGTAGATCCAGGTAAAGTGAAGTCACTGACAGCTTGAATCTTCATCTGTCATGATGTTGCCATTAGGGGCTCAGTAGTGCTACCACTTGGGGATCCTTCCATCCTGTGGTGAGCTTTTCTGGGCCACATAGATTGTGAAGTCAGCAAAAGTACAGGAAGGCAGAGCATGTTGGCAGTTTTTTCTTGATCCTCATTTTCCTTGGAAATAATCCCTTCTGCTTGGCTAGTGCTACGGTGGTGCCCTTCCTTTGCTTGCCCTACATATAAACAGACATAGCAAGACTGGATATCTTGTGAATGGAGAAACTTCTGCCTGCTTCATGAATGGCAACTGTCATCGTCAGTAAAATCCATGTTGTTGTTGTTGTTATG